CGTCGTTATGCATCTGAGATTGTGCTAACGGACGCCCAGATGTTTTATTTTGTAACGTTTGGATGTTTAGCAACATGGTTTGATTCATGCTGTACTTTCAATAAACACTGTCATGTGTAACAAGAAAGATTGTAACGAATACAGGTCCGTTCAGAAGACTTGCTGATAGATAAACGTTCACTGATCTAGTTTAGGTTTATACTTTCGTAAAAACGAGTTGCCACATTTTTTAAAACGGCAGTTTTGTAGAGAAAACATTTCGCTATTGCGTCTGTTAAAATTGTTTTAGATCGATTGGATTAAATTTAAAGGGGATCGTAATGTGCCACAATGGAAGTCGGCGTTTGTTATAAGATTCGTGCACGATAATAGATAGAGAGTTAAAGCAAAACATGCTTCCGCTCTGACTTTAAAAAACCCCAGTATAATGAAGACTTTTTAAGCTTTAATATAGCAGCATTTTTCGGAAAATTCCAAACGAGGTGAGGGTACCTTTGGAAAGTACAGCATGAATCAAACCATGTTGCTAAACATCCAAACGTTACAAAATAAAACATCTGGGCGTCCGTTAGCACAATCTCAGATGCATAACGACGAATTACACATATAAGGTTTCGACTTAAGATAAAGAGATTGCATAATTTCCTTTCGATGATGAATATTCTTTTTTCTTTTGCGTTTTTCTCACAATCAGTTTTTTCTATCAAACTTCATAGTGCCACATTACGATCCTCTTTAAATTTTATCCAATTGATCTAAAACAATTTTACCAGAGTCATTCAATACATCAGCTTAGACATATTGTTTTGAAATCTTTCTCTGACTCTTTCGACCTTTGACGGGAAGAAGGGATCCTCAGGCAGTCGAAAGAAAATGAAGTCTTTTTTAGCTTTAATATAGCAGCATTTTTCGGAAAATTCCAAAGGAGGTGAGGGTACCTTTAGAAAGTACACAAATGTATCGTGTTAAAAAAGTAACTTTTAGATTTCTATAAGAATATTGATCATCATCTATTGACCAGGTTTAATTTCGCAAAAACAGAATTGATCTCGTTTGCTTGCTTTCTTGCTCCCTCCTCTCCATCTCAAGAATAGAAGACCACCATGATCGTCTATTTTAGCAAGGAAACTCAGGTCGATTTTTTTCGCCAAAAATTGTGAAGGAGATCTTAAGAAAAAATCGTCAGCGGTGGTCTTCTATTTGGGGGTGGGAGGGACTTTAGATTGACGTTTGATCTACAAATGTATAGATAATATTACATGTACATGATTCGTAGAGGACTGAGAAAAAAATTTCTGTACGTATTTTGCCTGACGTCTTAATAATAAACCAATCTCATCAATAATTTAGTCATTTGCCAAATTTCATTTTTCCCCTTTTGGTCTAATTCTGCCCTTTTCTATTTCAGTAATACTATGGTGGTCCTTGACTTCTCTATCATTAGTTATCATTATACTGTTAGTATGACGGCAAGAAACTTTTTCAAATCATTTTACGTATGCAAAACTCTGATGAAAGCGTACGATCCGCAATTCAAAAACATGCGAAACCTTTTCTCTCGATCTTCCACCCAAATCTTGCACTTGTAATTCTACTCGAATAGGACAAAAGTAAATCTAAGCAAACTACTGCAAAATCAACTCTCAATGCTGCCCTCCCATTTTTCACAGAATCTTTTCAAATTATCCGCACTGGCCAAATAAGACAAATTTAACAACATGATTATTATATCACTTTATCGGTTAAAGAAGGACGATATTGATTAGTATTTTCACTATTTTCTAATAATTCAACGGCTTTTAGCAATAATGTGAAATTATCTTCATCTATATTTGTATTTATATTTTTGTCATAACATTCTTGTTCATTGACAATTTGATCTGTTTTCGCCACAGTTGGTTTAAGTCGATGATAACATAAATATATTGCTTCAACATTTCGATGCTGATCAAGTGTTATTTTTAATTTTGGTAAAATAATCGATGATTTTCCCTTATCTAAAGAAGAACCATTATTATCGTGATCGGTGACTGTGAGAATGTCATCTCTTTTTGAATTATCAGCATGCTGCTGTTCTGATTCGAATGAAACTAAATTTGTTATCAAACCAATATTGTTATTGCTTGTCGACTCAACATTTGATGTTGATATTTCCATTTTCTCTTCTAATTTTTTAACTGACTTTTTACGATTTTTTGATTTGAAATATTGAATTATTATTGAGTGATAATTTCGTTTCATACGCTTTATCACATTTGTTTTACCAAAATGTTTTTTTGTGCCCTTTGGCACTATTTCGGTATTATTCTTTTTCGTTCGATCAGTTGTTGTCTTATTTTCAACAAAAGTTCTTTGAGGTTTTTCTCGCTTTCGAGGTTGAACATTACATGTTTTTCTTTGTGTTCTTTTCTTTTTTGTTTGCCCATCTTCCGTTGACAATAGTGTTGTCTCTTGTACAGTGTTATTTAGTGACATCAGTTGATTTGAATCATTCTTCCTATTCTCTAGATTAATAATATTTTCAGTTTTCTGAAAAGGTTTTGTAAAAAATATTCGATGATTATTCATGTTTGTAATTACATGTTGTGGATTGTTGTTCCATGTTTGATATTGAATGGCAACATGGTCTGTTAGTTGCCTAGGGTTTAACATTGAATTCGACTGATTGTTTATTACAGATGTTTGAGCAATTGTTTCATTTTTTGAATTAAAAATACAAGATTCATTGAAATAATTTTGTGGAAACTGTTGAGATTGTCTCAATGTATTTGTAGAACAATCAACTTTATAACCAGTAGACCAATGTCGCGTTGAATCACATTCTTCGTCAAAGCTTCTGCTAGTCATTGCTAAAAATTCGTTGCTTTTATGCTGATAATCCAAATATGAACAAGAGGATTCGTTTGTATTACCGTCTATTGAGTGAACGGACTGATTAAGTAGAAAAGAATTGTTCGAAACACTAGTCTGTGCAAACTGCGCTATACTCTGCGGATAGGTAACATTAGAGACATTACTATTTTTCAAATTGTCTTGTCTATTTGCATTTTGTTTTGTACATACTGTTTGGGTCTCAAATTTAGTGTCCGATACTGATAACACAGTACCAGGTAGTTTGTCGAATGATGCATTCACGCTCGAATTTTTTTCTGCAGATTCTAAATAAACGAAGTTGATCTGATAATCATTATACGATAGGCGACTTGCAACACTTTATATCTCAGGCTCCAAAAGACGAGGAAAAAGAATATTTGGTAGTTTTGGTCAATTCGGTCAGCTGAATCAAATGACATTATCTGTTTGACAAAAGTTTTTTCGACCTTTGACGGTCCTCCTGGAAGAAGGGATCCTCAGGAAGTCGAAAAATGTTTTGTCAAACAGGTAGTGTCATTTGACCCAGCTGACCGAATTGACTAAAACTACCAAATATTCTTTTTCCTCGTCTTTAAGAGCCTGAGATATAGAAGCAAAATTAACCGTTGCAAGTCGCCTATTAGTCTGCAAAAAAAATTTCACTGTCACTGGCGCGCATCGGTGAGGCACTGGAAATGTTTTTTGCACGGTAAGAATTGACGGATTGTAATGGGTAAAATAACCCAATGAACTATACAGAAAGTTTGATATGAGTTCAGCAGGTCAAGATAAGCGAAAATGAAAGTGACATCCAAAAGCTTTTGGTATCATTTGCATTTAGCTTATCTTGACTGGGTCAACGGGAAAATGTATTTGCTAAAAGGATGTCGCTAAAACTTAGGTGGCATTACCATTGTCAAAAGTCCGATATAGTACAGTCACTAGCCCCACTTTTCAAGCAAGGCAGCTGATGTTGATTGTGTGGTGACTTCAATAGGTACAATTAGGTAACTAAACCTCGTTCAGTTGAATTATCAGTTTTAATTACTATTCTGTACTTTAAAAACATTTGATACCTACTTTTTCGTATTGAAGAATGTTTTTGTTTTGTTAGGCCACTGTTCGTTTGTGGTTGATGCAATTTCCATGCTGACTGCCTTTTCTGCACTAGCTGCGTGCCACTTTCTGAATCAAATTGATAATTAACTGACATTCTCTCTTCGGCTGCATTATCAAAGTGAACTACTGAGGGTGGTGGTGTGACATTCTCATAAATTAGTGGGATATTTTTCTCCATTGGCATTGAAATGCACTGACTTTTAGGAATTGATAAATCGAATGAAATAATCGAATTTGATATTCCCGGAATATTATTCTTATTATCGTCTTGACAGTTTTGATCTCTGTTTATGATACTTTCCTTTAAATTATTTCGCTGCGTTTGAAGAAAATTTTGTTGTTTATTGTGTATCATCCAAGAATAATCCGTAATTTGTCTCGTAGGCGTACCGAATGGAGGTTGAGACAGCGTCTCTACCAACGGTATTTGTACATTATTTCTTTGCTTGTTATTTAATGTGGTAGATGTTTGGGTAGATTCGTTTAATTGTTTGCATGTACCGTGATATTGGGGTTGTTCTATTGGAGTCATTTGAATCCCTACTTGTGGTGATATACCTTCGTCTTCTTTTTTGGTGCTGGAAGCTGGCTGCTGATTAGTAACTGGATTGTTATTGATCCGATTTCCTGTTGATAAAACGAGAAAATTTCGGAAACGGATGGGCATTTGCATATGAGAGGACGGTATTGCTATGGGGAGGATGAACATACCGCCAGTTAAGGCATTCGAATTAGTCGGCACTAACTGAGGATTAACTGTCACATTCGCGGCCAGTTCTACTTTCTTGTATGTTTTAGTATTTTTTTGAGCTATTTTTTTTTGTTTTTGCTTTTCTCCCGATAACAGTCGTTTCCTCGGTTGTTTCATTGGGAAAATATCTAATGAATGTTTATGTGGTCTAGAAATTATATTGTCTGTCGTAACGTATGTCACTTCTGATGGCATTGTGTACGTAATCGAAAATCTGTAATAATTTATTCTATAAATAAAGATGGGTTTGATTAGCGAAAATAATTCTATTTGTACATCATCGACATCGTTCTGGTGCTATCATAAAACTTGTATAGTACATTATTGGAATGCCAAGCGTATATTTGACAATGCTACAAACAAATTGTGATATCAAAATTAATATTTTATCTCTGAACTTTTGGAGAAGTCGTACGAAAAACTAGCCTAGGCTAGTATTTTATTGTAAGATACTCTTTTAATCTATGAAGATGCAATTTTTTTCTACTTTATTCTAATTAAACTTGGCAAAATAGCCTGAACTTTTTAGATTTTAACGATATAGTAATATTGTGTTTCTTTTTTTTTAACAGAAATCTGTTACTTTGCTGAAAACACAGTACTTTCCACTGTGGTAGAATACTTTTAACGTACCCGAAAAATTTGCTATTGTATTGTTCTGAGTGGCAGCTATACACTATTCAAATAAGCTGATTTTTTATATCCACATTTCGAAAACTAAAATGTAACACGCATTTCTCTTCTCGATCAAGCTCAAATCTTTTCGCACTCAAAACTGTATAGTGGTATAGTCAATATTGAACTGATGAAAGCGCGAATACAAAGAATAGAGAAATGATTTTCTGTTTTCATGCTTCAAATAAAGTATCAAATTTAACTAACATAAAAAGTAAGTTTTTTTTCAACTGCTAAAAGTGTAGTTATTATAATTTCATTTTTGTATCGAATATATTTTAATATAAATACATTTTGAATATATTTAGTTACCAACAACAACTACGAAGAAAGTTGACTCATACCTTTACTATTTTCTAATACATATAATCGAGAAAAAAAACCAGAAGGCATTACGAGCAGAGTATGATGTGCATTTATGTGCAAGAATTTTCTTATTCTTTCATTTCATTTCTAGCTAGCGTATACAGATGGTCTACCTTTAACTATAAAAAAATTAACTGAAGACTAAATAGTCATAGAAGAAAAAATAAAAAGAAAGAAGAGAAAAAAAGTAATGGGAGTAACTGAATTATTCTCAAGGATGCTTTTTTATCAACAAGAAAAACGTGGCGTGGCGTAGCATAAATTATGCTATATGTAGTTATTATTATTAGTTTAATATGATATTATGCTACTTCCATGAGCCTTTTCTCTTTTTCATTTTCGTCTTTTAATTACATCTTATTTAACTTGTGAAAGAGAGTATTTGAATTAAATAAGAGGACAGAAATCTAAATCTAAAATGATCTTTTAGTAATTACTAGAGATAGTTTTACCATTATTCTACTTCTCTTTGAGATGATTAATTGAAGGAAAAAGGAACTAGAATTTCTTCCATTTTCTTTATTCAAACAGCAAAGTACATAGCGAGTCAACGAAATCGTCTTATATAGACTACATTATTAATGCTTTTCTGACTTTGTAAGTCAGAAATGAAATAAAGCCAACAAAAGTAATAGTCAGGATCAGTTCCTATATTACAAGGTTAAAATGGGTGTAGAAATCTCCTTCTTTACCCAAAAGGGAAACTTTGTTAATGTAAGGACAGTGCTAACTATATGTCCGCCTACGTAAAACTAGTCATGCGACTGAGACAGTTGTCTATGAAAATATCATGCAAATCTTTATTATATGACTCAAACTTCCTGTGTTGTGCAAAAAGAAACGACGCGTAGATGAAATGCCAATGGCAATAATTAAAAACCGAATAAAACAGGGCAACGTAAACGATTTGTTGATACGACAACTCGACCATGCAGCATTAATTAGAATGAAATTTTGATTTATGTAAATAACTTTACAGGATGAAGCGGGGCGAGTTCATGGTACAAATAGCATAAAATTGTACAACTCTGATATACAGTTGACTAACGTGGCTGTAATGTACATAGATAGGATACTAGCGGATTAGAAAAATGAGCGATAGATTCACACTCTATTCAATGCCATCAAGTGTGCGTTACTTGTATTAATTGCGCTGATATTGCACGTTTTATAATTGACTGTATAAAGTGAAGTATTACCCTACAAAATCTTTTATTTTTAATTAGAATAAGTATATATCTATCCATGAAGATAAAATTTATTCCCAGTATGTTTTATATGATTCGACCTCGCATTAAAATTACTAAGAAAATGCTCAACAGTTCTTCGATCAAATTTTTTTTTTCCGCAGGCATATGGGCTGGAGTCAGGAAAATACTTGTTTTTGTAGACAATCAACAAAACTCTATAAAATGTATTACTCGGATTACTTTTACAGTCGGCTTTAGTTTTTCAACTTTTTTCTTTCAAATTGTACAATACCAGCACAATTAACTCATTTATTAGAAAACCAAAGAAAACTCGTATTCTTCTTAAACAATTTAGTTACTGTGCACTTTTTCTTATAAATATTTAGATGAATGTGTACGTGTGTGTAAAAGAACTTGTTTTCGCTGGGTGATCTTTCTCCTGGACAAAATGAACTCATTCTTATCTAAAGTTTCTAATATATTCCTAATATTCTAATTTTACAATAAAATACAGCATTGAATATCATTTGTCGAGCTCGGGTGGATGACGTTTTTACATTTTGACATATATTTCAGAATGATTGAATTTTTCTGTATTTTGCTAAAACATTCTATACATGGACATTGAATGAGTCTGCATTGAAGTCATCTGCATAAAATAAATTTTAACTATTTT